AGCTTTAACATGAATAAAAGAAAAATTAATTCCATACACTGAAAAAAAAAATTATTTGAGTTTCTTAATGTAAGAAAATTCATCAGCCACCCTGTATATTCGCAGTTTCAATAAATAAGCAGCTTCCTCAAGAAGTATCCTGCAAAATCTCAAACAAGAACTGAAGAGCATGGTAGAAATATACTTAGACTTTGCTTTCTTATCGAAGCAAGAGAGTACATAGTTGAATGGTGTCTGGAGAAGACTTGCTTGGTAGCAAACTAGCATATTTAACAACATTTTTATATAGAGGAAGAACATTTATAGAAAGTTATATAAAATATTTTAAACTTTGAATCAAGATAGTCAGAATTAGAAGCCATTAGTGCGAAGGCTGATATTAGAAATATTTAAACTGGATATATGGGATGTTCTGGGCAAGGACACACTAAAATTCTTCACTGCTTCGACTGCATCCCCTGCAAACTACATCACTGCATCGCAGAACCTTCTCCTGGCATTTCCAGCATTGCTCAGATATCTACGTGGTATTGCTGAGCCGTTCGAAAAGGGCTGCAGTGATCTATTTCACGAATGACTCAGAGTTAATATGGATTGTATGAGTAACAGTTTTCTGTCGTCAGCTATCCGTCAACTCTAGTTTCAGGCTATCGCATCAAAATCTTTCATTCGGCGATGGCGGCCATGAAGGTGCCAGTAGATATGCTGGAATCTAGTACTACAGATACAGATAACAATATTTCGGGCCCCGGCGAAGTCGATCAAACTGAACCCATTTGAGGATTTTTCATCATGAAGGGTGAATTTACCGACCGTTGTGTCAGAGATACTTTCTTTATACAATATATAGTACAGTAAAATTCTCCAAAACCGGAAGCAAAGTGGACAAATTTTTAGAAACCCAATATTATCGTTAAGATTTTCACACAAAACCAATTTCTATAAGCGGACAGGAATACATTGTACTGACCGAAGTCACCTCCAATCAATTCGGCAAGCGAAAGTAAACAACCGCAGATGGTACTTCGGACTACTTGCATTTAACAATGTCAATCTCGCCATGTCGGATGTTCTTTGCCAAAGCTGTACAGAGGAAGACAAGACGAGATAATGTTTTCACTTTCTATGATTCTATGATTATTATTACTATCTCGGTATACGCAGCTTTGGCGAACATAACAAAGTGGTTGGGATTGATATTAACCGCCTTAATAAATTTATAGTAAAGCCTTTGTATATCTATGAGGCGATGCACTTTAAAGTGTGCATCATTAGGTTTATGAGAGTAATTTGAGAAATATTAACTCTACAACCCAAATTAACCAAATAAATCGACAAAAACTTTAAGTATATTTCTTTATCTAACATTTTGGTAGAGAAATTATAAAATATACATAAGTTTCCAAATAGCTAAAGCGTTATTATTTATCATTTGTTAATTTTTAGTTATTTTCTATATTATTTTGCTAAATAAATATTTTACACAAATAATTATTACCCGGAAAACTACCAGTATCACCATAAAAATTGTATTTCAAGTAATTTCACACAGTTCAATCTCCCCGGCCTGTCTCCAAGTACACAAGTGCACCCACTCGCTTTCACAATATTTACACCCAATATATATGCATTCATTTCTCTACAATTTATTATTGACTTTCTACTACGTGATTTTGCCTACAATAGCCGCACTATATTATACCGGCTACACTTTCGAGTTATTTCCTCTAACTTTCTTGTTACTGACTTTCCTGCATTTCCGCAGAACAACCGGACATGCAGTAATATCCTACAAAGTATTTGCAGGAGTAAATCTATAAGTGGTAAGTACAGCTGCATAAACACATACAGAGAAAGATAGAGCGGAACCACCACCTACAACTACGAGTACTAAATATATTTGCAAGTAGCACGTGTGATGACGACATTCATTGTTGTCGGCCAAAATGTTGGAAAAATATATGCGCAATTTTATTTCAACGACAAATGAATATGAATTCGATTGTGATTGCTGGCCGACCATGGACACTGGCACACACATATATGTGTGTCGAAGTTGAACTCGAAACTTTGGCTTTTAACTGCAAATGCATGCCTGTGTATATGTATGTGTGAGTATGTGCAAGCGTGCGATAGCGCATACAAAAGCAATCGCATTAACACTAACAAATATACATTGCATGCAAATATAGTGCTTACGTGCAACAACACACACATACACAAATATATTTATATGTACATATGTACATACGTGGGATGTGTGTGATTTGTGATTTGTGAACGTGCGCTCGTACTTATGCCATCACTTGAAAGTGAAATGAAGCTGAAAATGATTTTCCATTCGAAATGCATTTGAAAGCGCACTCTACTTGCCATGCACTCAGCCACACACAAGCACGCAGCAGTCGCACACAAACAAACATGTGCACACAAACACAAAATACAAAGGGGTGCAACCATATTTACTGCAGCATACACCTATGGCGCTCATGTATGTATACCAAAAAAAGCCAAATACGTGCTAGCGTTTTTTTGGATGTTGTTGTTGTTGCGCACTTTTACCTCAATCTTTGGGTGGGCGGAAATTTCATAGGAAAAATGTTGCCAGCAGAAATGCCCCTTCATGTGCTTTCGCTCACACTAATAATCCAACTAATGTATGATGTTGCATGCATGTACATCTACATATATGTATATGTGTATGTTATACAATTTCCACAAGCATATGTATGTATGTGTTTGTGTGTTGGTACACTCGTGCGTGCGCCATTTGGCTTTTGTAGTCTCCATCAGGCGTCGACTTATTGAGTTTTACTCTTTGTTGCTGCATAAGTTGCATGTAGCAGCAAGCAAAAATCGTATGTTGCATTCATGCCAAATTTCGACCAAAGCAGATTTCAATTGCAGTAACACAAAGGCGCTTAACGTTGAGTATACATACTACCAAGCGTCCGAGAGTGAGTGTTGCCTAGAAGCATTTGTATTTATATGGAAGAGAAGTTGTGCTTGTAAATGTTTGTATGTGTTTATGTAAATGTTGGTATGTGTTTGTAGTGCTTGCAAAAAGCATTCGCTATTTGCATGCACAACGCTAACGGGAAATTGTGGTATATTTTATTGTAGGCGATTGCAAAAATTTATTAGTTACCTTTGGGTGTGTGGATGCAACAAGCTGTACTAGGATTTGTAGGTAATTTTTCTAACGGCTTATAAAGTTTTTGGCTAGTTGGAGTTTTTTTTGTTGCGGCTTCGTATTTGACTGGTTGCAATATAAATTGGGGTTTTAGGTAAATTTTATGCACTTTGTGTTTCGGACGAAATTTTGTGAAAAGAGAAGTTGGAGATAACTAGCACTAACATAGCTATCTATGTCAAGTTTAGTTATGTAATGGTAATGGTTAAGTTACGTTAAGTTGCGTAACCTTAAGTAAAGTTATGTTACATTATGTTATGTTGTGTTGTTAAAATTTTTCTTAAGATAAAGTTTAGGTTGCTGATAACTTTGTTTTATGTTACGTTATGTTGTGTTTTTTATGCTATGTAAAAAATATCGATTTATTTAGCATTGTATTGTTTTCATTATATTAATAAATTTTATGTTATGTTACGCTACGTTACGTGAAGTTATGTTAAGGTAGGTAAAGTTATGTCACCTTATGCTATGACATGTTGCTTGCACATTTTTTTTAAGTTAACATCGTGGTGATTATAACTTACTCATGTCTGGTATGCTCAGTTATGTTATGTTGAGTTACGTTAGTTTATGTTAAGTGAGCTTACAATATTTTATTTCATTTATTTTTAACTTTATGTTGTTTATACTTATTTTCTGTGGAATATTCTTTTATTTTATTTTATGTTAAGTGATGCTATGTAGCCTAAAATTTCTAATTATTTAGCTTTATATTCTGACACATTTATATGAATGTCATGCTATGTTTTGTTACGGTTATATTATGTCTCAAACTTCTATTTAATAAAGGCTTTATAGCTTTTTCCTTTATGGAATGTTATGGTGTTTTGTTATGTTATGTTTCCTTAAGTTATGATGTGATTTGTTACCTAAAACTTCGATTAATTTAACTTTGTGTTTTGTTTTTAACATATTTATCATTGTTACGTTATGTTACGTTACGTTAAGTTATGTTAAAATTTCTATTAATTTAAATTTGCTTCATTTGTATAATATTTCTCATTGTTACTTTGCGTTAAGTTAAGTTACGCTATGCTAAGTTAAGTTACGATATGTAAAGATATGTTATCTAATTTTTTTTTTTTTTTTGATTTAACATTGTAATGCTTATAACTTATTTATTCTATATATTAGTTAAGTCAGGTAATGTTATGTTATGCTACGCCGTCTGAAATTTCCACCAATTTCACATTATTATATGCATTCATATTACTCTTTGTTAATTTTTCCTTGCCTAACTTTATCAAATTGATTCCGACTCTCCTTTAATGCTTCACAAATATAGTTTTTTTTACATAAACAGGCTGAAGTTTGAAGTATTCTTCAGCTAGATTTAATTAAAGTTACTTTACCGTTTTGTAGCATACTAAATTGCATTTTAATTATTTCGTATATTTTGTATTATATAATTAATTGTTTTTATATTA